TTGCAGGTAGGTATTATAACTCTCCAGGGCTTCCAGCTTCACACTTTTCACCAGGGTGATACAGAGTCACCTTGCAAATACAGTTTGGTTGACACAAGTTCCAAGCACCAAGCACAGGTGAAAAAGCTCCACAGAGAAATGCCCTCCAGCAACATTTCCTTAACAACCCACCCAGAAATCAGGTCCTCTTCACTTTCACTCTGTCCTTTTTGGACATGTTTTTCCCTCTGTTTGGGCAGAGAAGGTGAGTCATGGAACAAAGACAGCGTGGAAATTTACATCCAGCTATGAAAGTGCATGTTATGACTACCACGAAAAAAAAATCATCCCCACAATTCACTCTCAGTGTAAGTCACACCCAGCTTGGAAGAAATATGAGTTTAAACCTGTTCCTTTTTGGTTGATTGATGCTGCTGGCTGCTGCAAGCTGCTTCCTCTGCGTGTCACACTCAGCCTTCAGCCTTTGTTGTGCAAGATACGTAAAACCTCTCCAGTCAGATGCCTGCAACTAGGTGGATGGACACAAATGCTGCCTCAGAGAGGGCTAAGGGGCACCCCTGTGCTCTGACCCCCTCACAGAGCAGCTTCCTATCCCCTCAAGGTGGGGTGTTGCAGTATTCCCAAGTGTTTGATGGGTGGCAGTGCATGGAGAGTGCCTCCCTGCTCTTGGGTCTTCATGCTTTGAACCCCCTCATTCAGGACTATGTATTTTATCTTGAAGTGCAGGTCTCACCCTCTCCTTTTAAAATACGGTGTCTGCTGCTGCCACCTACCTTTTGTGCTGGAGTGGATGCAAGAAATATTCCATACACCGAGTCTGGAAGGAGCCCAGGATTTCCTCCTCATCCCACGAGCTATAAACCCAACCTATAAACCACGAGGTTATTTTGTTGTGTGGGCAGAAGGCTTTATCTGCTGTTGTGAGAAAACATTTCCTGCCATGGAAGAGAAAAAGTTTCAAAACCCATCAGGAGATCACTTCTTGCTCTTGCCTGGCTGTGAGGGCTTTCATACAGCAGATCTCGGCATCTGCCCCAGAGAGGAGATGGTCATATCAGCCAGGGAGCATTTCATGTAACAGGAGAGGTGGAAAGAGGTGTCTGGGAAACCTGTGGCCTCACAGCAGTAGGGGTCTGAACCTCACTCTCATCCTTCCCAGCTGCTTCACGATGTGGTGATTGTGAAATGGAAGCAGAGGTAGAGATGAAATGCTGTCCCCAAATGTTTGTCCCCAACAAACCTCTGCTTTCCTTCAGACACATTCCTGGAGAAGCACAAACCCCTTAGGAATGCTGGCATGTGTGGTTTGTGCCAGGTTTATCTCTCAGGCAGCCCCCGGACCGCTCAGCTTTGCAGAAGTCAGAACACAGGGGAAATATTTAAGCAAAATAAATGTGGCTTTTCTGTGGGTACTAACGCTAAGAGGGACATAGGACAGCTCTAACCCTCTTTTCCCAACTGCTTTTCCACAGCAAACAGCAGACCTGCAATTAGTTTTGGGTGAGGAGGAGCTGCAGCTGACACAGATCTGCCAAGCCCAGGTGCTGCCATGCAGAGGTTTCGGCATCACAGGCTCGTGTCCACGTGCTGACATCCCACCCAGGCCCATCACCAGCCCCAGCCTTGAGCTGAGAAGCAGCACACAACCTCTGAGTAAGCAACTGGTTTCTTTTCTTTACACCAGGACGGCATCATTCCTGCACAGTCTGCAGACTAAGTATGGGAATGATTTCACTCACCACATGCAGCCACCTTGATGGGAGAGAAAGCCTGGCAGACGTCTCACAGCACACAACAGCTTTATGCTGCCATCCAGGGCAGGAAGCAAGAAAGGATATTATATCAAACAGAAGGCATGGGAGAATTTCAGGTTAGATGGAGCATACTTAGTCACAGCAGAACTGGGTCAATGTTCTGGGACCTGTGTTCACTTCCTGCAGGAACCCTGGCTTAGCCCAAAATAGTAGCAGTTAGGCAAAAGCCAAATATCTGCCCCTTTTTCTCCCCACAATAAATACTAATGCTTACGTCATTAAAGGAGAAACATAAATAGAACAGCCTGGGGCTGTGATTTGCAAAGTTCTTGGTCTGTGGATGAACCATCAGCTTTTCTTATAGCTCACTATTGTGCCATCAGACTTTTCACTGAAGATACTATCAGGATGATATAAGCCTTCATATCCACCCAACATTTACACCAGTCAACTAAGAAGAATCAGAGCCCACATCTGTGGGTCTTCTGTGTGACCCGGTTTGCGTCTCGCCGCCTGGCACGTGCACCAGCACAGCACAGGACAGCATGCAGCAAAGAATGGCTCCTACTGGCAGTTTGGACACTGTTTTGGAAAAGAAGGGGGGGTTTGGCTCTGTGGGTACGAGGTGTGCCCCACCTGTTGTCCTCAGGGACAGAGGACAGCCCACGTCTATTTTATTTCACCGCACAGAGCCACTACAAGCACTGCCTGCAACACGCTGGGTTACCACTGCTCTGCACTGTGCACCCTCGAGCAGGTGTTCACTTCTCTCCAGACACGTGCCAAAGGCTGTCAGCCAGCATTGGCAGGAGAACACCTGAAACTACGCGCAGAGCCACACACCTCTGTCCATCCTTCTTCCAGGCTTTGTGAATGTTTTTAAGAGCAACTCGAGTAGGCAGAATCCGGGGGCAGATCCTCAGCACGCCCACCGGCAGGGAGCTGTTGACATCAGTGGAAAGAGCCTTTACACAACGTGATGATCCTTATATTGTTCAGGAACACCCTGGAACTGAAATCCCCGTAGTGGGATACCTGGAGCACCCAACACGCTCAGAAAAGAGGAGCTGCTTGGAAGAATTACAGCTTTCAGAGTAATTGGTGTGTGCCTGACCAACTCCCATTAAAACCAGGTGGTTTTAAAGGAGCTGCTTGTCACTTAGTGCCTTATAGTACTTGAACCTGAAGTCCTGGGGTCCTGTGCCTGGTTCCCAAGGTAAACACATGTAATTTATTTCAGAAAGGCATCTGCAGCACAGGAATTCATTACATACATACCCGATGGGCAGCAGCCAACATTTCAAATGTGCCAAGTTACCAGAATTTTATTAAAAGCTGTTAAGAGTTAGGGGGAAGGTGCAGAGAAAAGCAACCTCCTTCCCAAAGCCAGGTGGCTTAGGCTAGACTTACGCCGCTTCCCAAATGGATGAGGCAAGCTGGAGTCAGAGGTTCCTTCCAGCAACCAGCTCAGTCCCCCTGGATGTCTCTCCGTAAGCTGCACAAATATTCTGGGGAGGGGGAGGGAGAGAGAAAAGAGTGAAACCTATTCAATTACATCAAGATCACGACTGGCCCTAGTAAAATCATTTATGGAGTGAGGGAACCCGGAGCGGTTTGGGCTGGAGCCATCTGCAGTTATTTGGTATATACAGAATCCGTTTCTATGGATTTTATTAATAGGTCACGCGATTGTATACGAGGATGTGAGATCTGAATCTCTCAGGAGGGGTCCCTGGTTGGGGTTTCTATTGCCTTTATAGGCAATGGCTCAAACTTTCTTGCAGCAGCAACTCCTTAAAAACTTGAGTGGAATGGGGCTGGTTTTAGGATCCAGCCCATTTTTTTCTCTCCCCCACCAAAATCTTGAATTGACTTTGTTCCTCTTCCTCATTTACTAAATGGGGAAACAAGGAAATAATCAGAGAAATATTCTTACTTACTTTTTCCATTGTCTGCATGAATTTTCCCTCTTTCCCACCAGTCTGAGGGATATCTGGTACATAACTCAGCTCCCACTTCCATCTGTTTTTCAGGCTTTTTTGGCCCTTATTTAGGGGTGATTTTTGCTTTTATGCCACTGTTGGCTCTCCCCGTATGGGAAGTTGAGCCCAAAGGGACTTGGACACACAACAGAGGCTTGGGACAGGTGGGTGTAAATTGGAGCAGCCCAGAGGCTTCTCTGCTTCCCCAGGGAGCTGCCCAAGGATCCCTGAGCTGTTCTGAAGACCAAGCTGTGACATGGGAACAGTCAAAAGCCTCTGCCCTTTGGTCTTCACTGTGGCTTGATTTTGCTTCAATTCCCCCAAAAGAGACAAAACCAAACCAAGTTATCAGAGAGCAATTCTTTCATATCCTGGCCACATGGAGAAAGCTGGGCCCTGCAGAAAGCCACACTGCTGCAGCAAGTGGCTTCACCAGCTTCACCAACACTCCAGCTGATGAAGCCCCATTCCAGAATCTGGGGCTTTCAGTGCTGTTTCTCATCATCTCCTGCTTTTTCAAGTTAGCCCTACATGGGACAGCTCGCTCTTTTCAGGAGCTTTCAGGAGGTCCCAGAGACCCCCAGCTGGAGTGCAGAGGCCACATTCCATCCTTCTTGAAAGCAAACCCTGGGGGGGGATCCCACGGTGTCTCACGGGGTGGGAGTGGGGGCTTATCCGACCTGCAGGGCCAAGAGGGAAGCCCCACCGGGACCAATCAGGGCTGCAGGAGGGGGCGTCACCCGGGGGGTCGGAACTGCCCCGGGGGTCGAAACTGCCCCACGAGTCTCACCGTGGCTGATACGACCTGTGGGGGCCCAGGGAAGCCCCACGGGACCGAGCAGGGCTGCGGGACAGGGCATCATCCGGGATGCGAGTCCGCCCGGGGGTTGGCGCTGCCCCGGGGGATCGGAACTGCCCCGGGGGTCGGAGCTGCCCCATGAGTCTCATCGCGGCGGATTGCGACCTGCGGGGCCAAAGGAAGCCCAGGGGATGCCCTGCGGGGCAGGGCATCATCCCGCACGGGGGTTGCAGCTGCCCCGGGGGCTCGGAACTGCCCCGGGGGTCGGAGCCGCCCCGCTCCACCCCCGCCCCGGTGTCGCCCCCCAGCGCCGGGGCCCTGCCCGTCCCCCCCGGTGGCCCCGCTCGGTCCGCCCCCCGTGCCCATCCCCGTCCCATTGGCCGCGGCCGCCCCGCGCGTCACCGCTTCCTCCCGCTTTTGTGCGCCGCCCCAGCCCGGCTCCAGCCGAGCGGAGCAGAGCCCAGCTGAGCTGTTCCCAGCCGAGCCAGGCGCCGGGACCCACGGCGGTGACAAGCCCCGGGTGTGCGGGCATGGCACAGTGACCCCGCCGCCGCACCGGTGAGTCCGCCCGCAGCCCCCCCTTCCCGCCGGGTCCCCGCGCCCGCCTGCCCGGAGAGTTTCGGTTTTTAATTATTTTATGCTGTCTGCAGCGGTGGCCGAGAGTTTTTGCAGCCGGGACTGGCTTCCGTGGCTTTTTCTTCCTTCCTTTCTAGTCTCGCAAGTGGAGGGTTGTCCCTCCGGCTGGGTTTGGGGCTCGCAGGGGATGGAGTGGCTCTCCAAGAGGAGGGCGCCGGGAGCCGTGTCCGTGGGTGCGGATGGAAGGATTAAGGGATTGACCTTCCCCGGAGCTCCCCGCAACCCCCCGCCTTGTGCTGGTGCGCTCGGGTCACTGGTTTTCCCAGGTTGTTTCCTGGAAGCCTGTCCCAGCTGCAGCTGCTGACAGCGAGCGCCGGGATTAGACCCCGATATCCGTTCCCGGGATGCGTTTACCTCTGGAGCCAGCAGTTTCTGGCGGCGATCACTTGGGTCTCGCTTCCTTGGGGAGCGTCTCGACCACACCAGGGAGGCGCGGGGGTTCCCGGAGAGCCCTCACTGTCCAGCAAAGCTCTCCCCGCACCGTCTGCCCGGAGCGGTGAGGATGGGATGAGCGTGGGGAGGAAGGCTCTGCGGCGGGCACGGACCCCTGTAGGCGAGGGAAACCCCGCTTGGGGCGAGTGGCCGGCGGAGCTGGAAAGCTGGATTTCCACCTGGACTCAGCCAGCGGCTGTCGTGGGGAGCGGTACCACGAGTCAGGAGGATGCTCTGGGAGGATTTGCTCAGTTTGGAGATCGGCTTCCCCCTCGGCTGCTGTTTTTATCCTCCTCTTTAATTCCTGTCTTGTAATCCAGTGGTTTTTGGAAGCAGACCTGATCCCGGTTAGATGCAGAGTCTGCATGTGTTGCTGGTGCGTGGACCAAAAACACAGGGCTCACTTGGGATTTGGAGACTTGGGATTTGTGCAGGATTTAAGTGATCCCAGGGATTTCCAGGGTCAAGCTCTTTCACTTCTTTGGTGAGGGTGAGTGGCTGGGGGGAATTTCTTTCTATGCCACCTTATGAATTTATTTCCAGTCTGGTACGTGCAGTTTGATGTAGCTCCGTGCAGGATTTGTGCAGAGTGCAGCTCTTGGAAGCAGTTCCTCAGGTGTGCATGAGATAGTTGCATTTGGGGGCTTGCCTGTGGCTACCTGTGTGTTGTGATACCTGTGTCAGATGGTCCAGTTTGCAGAACCCCTAATTTGACATCAGTTATGAATGGAGGTTCAAGGTTTCTCAGGGCTCCTGCAGATCAGAGCAGACCTCCATGCCTGGGCACAGGCTTTGCCCTGGGAAGGTTTTGCAGCTTGTAAAAGCTCCTCTGTTGGAGGCAGGACGTGAGGCTGGATGGGCTGCCAGCCTGGTGGGATGTGGATTTAAAGGATCTTTTATACCTCCCTTCTGTGAACGAATTTTGGTGCTGCAGTTTTTTCCATGGGTTCTTAATCTCCATCAGGAACCCACAGCTCTGCCCTGTCAATGTGTGCTGATGGGTGATGCATTTCTTTTTTTGGAGGCTGTTAGAGCCTATGAGGGAAGTGTGCTCATGCAGAGAGATGTAGTCTGGATTTTCATCCAGACGAAGCGACTCTGGCGTGAAGAGCCAGCGACTGCAGCAGCCAGAGGAGCGGCTCCATCCCTCCTGAAATGTTCCTGTTGCTTTATGATGCTTCGGGATTTCAGCCTGCAGCTTGGACTTGATGCTTTCTGAATGTTCCCACTGGGAAGATGCCGGCGAGGATCACACGGTGTGTCTGGCTCCCTGGCAGAGCCGTGGGACGGAGTGTGTTGCTGCAGCATGGAAAGGGATGTGCTTCCAGCCCTGCTCTCCCCAGATGGACGTGGGAACGAGTGTGAGAGCTGGCAGGATCTTCTGTTCTGGTGGATCTGGCCCTGCTGTTGTAGACCTGCTGGTCGAGGCTGGAGGGAAGTGAGTCAGGGTTTGCTGTTAGAAGGGATATCTTTTATTAGACTGCTCAGGTAGCACAGGCTGTCTTTGGAGTGTACAAGCCTCTCTACACGTAGAAGAAAACAGGGAGTGATTACCCTGAGTGCACCTTGGCTCTCCTGATGGAGGGCATCATCTGGAAGAACAGGGGAAAAAAAGAGATATTCAACTACAGTTCAGCCTGTGCAGTTCATCTGGCTTAAGGAAAGGCAATTTCTCTCTCTACAAATCTCTGGACTCTTTAGATCCTGAGACTCAGCACAGGAAAGGGACACATATCCCATGTGCCAGCCTTTCATGGGAGGTGGCCAAGCCCTTTGCAGCCCGGCTCCCCCAGCGAGGAGCTGCAGGTGATGGGACTGGTGCTCCCTGATGCCTGATGGTAGCAGGAGGCTGCTGGGCTCAGTCACTTCCACTCCCTTCTCTGCTCAGGGCACAGGCCAAGCACAGTGTGCACAGAAATGTGCAGAATGTCAGCTGTGCACCAGGGAGATGGAAAATGCAGTGCGGAGCCATAAGTGGTGGAATATGGAATTCAACTTTTTTTTTTTTTGTCATCACTTTTTAGAAAAAGGGGGCTATAAATGGCCCACTGATCCTGAGCTGGGCAGGTTCACCCCCAGACCCCATTTATTTTCCTGTTTAAACTCCACAAGGGGAAATGGGTGACCAAGTGGTTTTGGTGAGTCCCTTCGGGGAGCAGTTCCCCATCCCCGTATGCAGCCCTGCAGGCCAGGTCAGTTCAGCATTTCTTTCTGGCACCTTTTCTGCCTTTGCTGAGTGAAGTGTGAGGTGCAGAGGTGGTGAATGTCATCTCAGTTGTGCCTGAAACACGCTGTCTCCGTGGGCTTACCCCCATATCCCGCATGGCATGAGCCTTCATCTGATGTGGTCAGTGCTGTGGTGAGCATCAAATGGACAAGACAAGTGGTTTTCTGTCTGTGAAGGTGTATGTGAGCATGGATATGTGGGCATTTTTGTTTGTTTTCTGTCTATCCCTGCAGTCCTGATCTGGTCTGGCCGAGTAATCTTCCCGTTAGTCACTGAAATGCCACTGGTATCCAACTCAAAGGGTGGTCCTGCATTGGAACAGGCTGCCCAGGGAAGTGGTGGAATCACCATCCCTGGAGGTGTTCAGAAAGCATGCAGATGGGGGACATGGTTTAGTGGTGGACTTGGCAGTGCTGAGTTAATGGTTGGACATGATGATCTTTTTCAACCTTAATGATTCTAAGATTCAATTAGTCTGTCCCAGTTAATGGACACAAGAAATTAAAAGCAAAGATCTCCCTTAAAAATTGATGTCTTCCTCTTCAAAGCCCCTTGGGAGCTACTCCTGGCAGAAGATCTGTTGCATGGGCTCTAAGAGCAAGAGAAGAATGCTGTAGTGGGGCTAGAGAAGAGTTTTGGGGCTGCACACTGGGAGTATGTGGCTCTCTGCTTTGTTTCAGTGCTTGGGCTGTTGCTCCAGGAGCTTCCCCTGGAGCCACAGGGTTTGGGCCAGGAAGGCCACGATGGTGGAAGATGCAGCATTAGCATGGTCCTTGGTGGGGACCCTTGCAGCTCTTTGCCCTACGTCCCCATCTCAGTGACTGGGGTGGGGGCACTGTTGAATGTCATCGCTGTGCCTGCTCCCAGGGCCAGCTTCTGTTCCCAGGGCACTTGGGACGTCTGTGAAGGGAACCCAGAGGGTTCGACCTGGACTTTCTGAGGCTTTTAGGAGTCAAAGGTGGAAGATATATCTGTACCCTCTGAAAAAGAGGATTCTGCTCCCAAGTGCGTTCCCCAAACACTTTTTTTGTGTCTTGGAGGATCCTAATACAAATGTTAGTGGAGACCAAGGGGCTCAGAATTTAATGAGAATCTGTGGTAGGCTGGAGCCTGTCCTGCTCTCCTGAGTTAAAACCCAGGCTGGCCACCATGTTATGCAGAACTAATTGTCATTTCTGTGAAATCTTCCCTGATTTTATACTCCCCACTCTCCCAAGATGATTTGGGGCAGCCCAGGGAGAACAAGCTGTAACAGCAATGAACCAGGGTGGAGCTGAGCCAAACCCTGGCTCACTGTGGAAGCTCCATGGGACAAAGTCCTGTTGGCAGTGTGTGCCGTGCCCAGCAGCCCGGGACAGATCCTGGAAGGAGCTGGCCAACTACTGCATGGGCCACTGTGTAAACAACATGTGTGAGGGGCAGGTCCTTGGTGGGGGTGGGAGGATGGCTCAAGTGCTCAGGTAGTGATTAAACACCAAATTGCTTGAAAAAATAGCCCTCGGTGGGTGGATCAGAGGCGCTCTGCAAACCTACTGTGAGCAGCAGCTTGTGTGCTGAAGTAACAAAAACTCATCTGATTTGATAGCTGGGTGATTCAGAGGGAGAAAAGACTTTGTACAATTGCTTTGGGAAGAATAATTTGTGAGATAAGAAGCCTTTGCAAGGGATGTAGGAATGTCTTAAATCCGTGGGTACTGAAAGGTGCCTGTGGCCCCTGCAATGCTTTTGAGTTCTCCTGTACTACCAGGACTGTCCTGCAGTGGTTGTGTTTGTCTTGTCCATGTGCAAGTGTTTCTTGCACAGCGGCTTCCAAGTGCCCCTAAATCCCCAAGGGAATATTGAAAACTTTGCACGTGACAGTGGTTAGGCCAAACACTGTGTGTAAAAGTGAACCCTGTCTTGTGCTACAAGTTCTGCTGCTGCTGCTCTCGGTGCAGAGGTTCTGAGGAAGATGCTGCTGCTTTGGTGTATCTGTTGAAGTCTGTCTTTTGAGGTTGTCCTTGCCCTTCAGTCCCGTGGTCTGGTCAGGCAGCTGGACTAGATGATTGTTGTAGATCCCTTTCAATTGAACTACTCTATGAATGTACATGGAAGCCCATCATGATGAGGATGGTGGGTTACTTGGATTTGCTCAGTGCTTATGAGCTGCAACCTCTTTGGGTTTATTGTCCTTGAGCAGAAGTCAGATTGTCATAGTCCAGTTGTGAACTGGAAATAGTGCAGTGCTCTCCATAAATAAGAACCTCAAAGAGTTAAGCAGATG